GTTCATCAGATAGACTACCATGCAACGCAAGCTAGCCCGAAGCTGTAGATCCACTTTTGCAGTACACAATGCCTTGGATGCCTCAGGGGAAAAATCATATTATACAAGGCTAATAGTTTGCAGTACCCACCTAGACAATGCAGCACAGTGAGGAGGGGTACATAAACTCTTTCGCATATATAGTATATAATAGCGCCAGAACAGTCCAGTAAGATACAAAATTAGCTTCCCACATCCCTCACGAGGTCCAAACAGACCTAAAGCAAGGAATACGAATGGGGTGGCTTTTTCATTTGATTGACCGACTATAGATTCCCAGTCTTGTAAATAGGTTCACAAACCAACCTGCAATTCATCCATCTGAAAAAGCCAAGGAAGGTAAAAGTACTAAATCTTTCTTGACCAGTAATGTAGTTCGTAGAGTAAATACTTGCATGGTAGAGTGAGCAATCACGAAAGGTCCCATAATCATCAAAGACCCCACCCCCCCCAATGACATCTTTGTTGGCATTCTAACCCTAAAGACAGTTAAGTTTAATCAATAGTTTCATGAATACAAGTGGGTTACATGCAGAAGTTTAGAGTTGGAAAATTTTCTCACAAGTAATTCAACACCAACAAACAACTATTACACCACTTGGTTGATGAACCACCTCAATTCAAAAAGCTTTGATGTTGAAACTCACTGATGTGGTTGATGCACGTTGGCAGTGCTAGAAATTATTGGTGACAATTAAATTGCTTTGATGGTCCAAGGCAAGTTCAGTTCAGTTCAGTTCAGTTCAAAGCATATCAGCCATGAATTGGTCAAACGATTAATAGTGACCACAAACAAAATTAGAGATTCACTTTTTTTCATTGAATCAAACCGCCATTCAGGCAGGCACGTGCAACTTCTGTAATGGAAATTACTCAATCATTTAAGAAATACTTTTATCCATAGTACTATAAGGAGCACCAAGTAAATTGCAAGTTGATGCATTGTCAAGAGATGAAAATGCTTTTTTCTATTTCTAGAGTTCCAATCAGCATTGAATCGATTTTGCATATTAAAACAAAAAAACAATGAAGTGCAAACAACTTTATTTAAAGATCTCTGCTTACAAAATTTTGTATTTCACAACAAAATATTGAGTTTGATTAGACTTGCAATGAAAGTTAACGAAATACACAATCACAACCGTTCAATAAATCTGGTGCACTTCGCTATATAACTGCTAATATTAAATCAAAACTTACAAAATATTAATATGCTTTAAACCCGTCCATGATTATCTAAAGTGTGGTCTATTTGACAGAGCTGTCCTTAAATTGTATTATACATGCAATAAAGGGGTTGTGCAAGCAGAAACTCTAAATCAAGCATTTTATGGAAGAAACTGTTAACTAAAAATTAGACGCATCAACAAACTCAGGGCAGTACTGATGCACTGCAAATTTGATCACCGAGAGTAAACTTTCAAATGACCACGACATGGGTAAAACTTTGACATTATTCAATATGAACAGCAAAATTATGAATCATTATCTAATTGCAGGATAACATATGTATGGAAACCATCTTAATTACAGCAGAACTGTCAAAAAAAATGGTCACTACATAAAGGTTTATCTATGAGGATGATAGTGGATGGATTTACCCAACATTTAGAATATCATGGGCTAAGTTTTATTCACAAGGAAGAAACACATCAAAACTGACAAGTTTTATACCATTTCCGTAAAACTGATTAATTGAAAGGTATAAACAATTGTAAACTTTAATCTCCTGGGCCATGATTTCAGTGTAAAAGCAAGTCTATTCTACTATGCCCAAAATATTCTACCAGTACTTCAGCTCATACACTAAGCATTGATCTAGATTACACCAAATTCTTTTCCTCTCATTTGTGTAAATATGCAGATTAATGGCTAAAATTTAAGAGAAATTTGGTGGTGTGCATTTTTTTTTTACATTTTGCATAAAATTCTAACATTCTGATCAACAGAAAAATTCAATAATTTGAAAATTACAAATGAGTAAATATAACTGGGTACTGATGACGTTAGGAATAACAAGTAAATTGAGAGACTACAGTAGGAGTAACACATAGACAAGGTCTTCAGTGTCTTCCAATGGATGGAATTGCCAATTGTACACCTCGGGACCATTAATGTTTTACATAACTGTATAACACTAGTGAATCCAGACCACCACTTTACAGAAGCTATTCCTATCGCCATCAAAAAATGGCAATACCACAAGCAGCTGTGCCAAAAACGATGTCATATTCTAAATTTGCTATTTCACGTATACATTTGTTTGGAATTCAGTACTACAGGCCCCCATGTTATATATAAACAATGCTTTCAAAACCTTAATATCACACTAGTGCAGGATAGAGCAAAAAGTAAACAGCACAGTTTATACAAAATGTTGACTTCAGACAGAATTTGCTGATCTGAAGTTCCAGTTTATAGATAGAATATTACAGTGAAAACCACCAAGATTTTGTCATTCAGATTGCTGCAGATGTTGCAAGGTCAGAATAACTGATTGCAAACGTTGTTTCGAAATATTGATAACCAACAGACTTTGTCTACCTATGTCTCGACTATAGATAATTGACAAAATTCAAAAGTAGGTAATCAGTTCAGTTTCTGAGCAATCTGAAGACCAAATCTTGGTGGCTTTCACTGTAATATTAGTTTGAGATTTTGAGACTACTGCAAGCAAATGCGAGAATGGTGGTTGCTCAAATTGTAAATTATTGTTGCTAGTACAGTAGATAAATTAGTCCGGCAGTTACCCATAAAAGCAAGGTGAAAAGATAAACTTCAACATGTACATATAGATTCATTTACGAAAGACTGCCAATTAATTACAAATTGTGCATTTACATGGAGCCACCATAGATAATTTACAATAATTGCATTGTGCAAAGGCTTGTTTATGAAAGTTTGAATTCCATACAAGTTTATATAGTTACTCCAATTCACATTTAGAATAAAACATTAGATTTTCCACCGGGAGGCTGAGTGATGCGTGCACCACCAGCAGGGGGGAGGTTCTCAGGATTTTGCTTTTGAGCACGGCGTCTTTGAGGGGTATCATTTTGAACAGAGTCTGCTTGTGACTGACCATAAGGAAGACCAGTAATGGGATTGATACCAGCACTGTCTGATGTTGGCAGAACGCCACAACCTTTTCTTGAACCATGAGCCACTCTGGGAACACCTGAATAAATGTAAACAAAAATGGTTATTATGCAATGACTCAAGAATGCATGTTAAATGCAAGAATAACAACAATTGCCAGTAAAGTGGTTAATTTATACGACTGGGAACTAGGAAACCACTCAAAACTGGATATGGAAGTCTGGGATAATATCCAGCATACAAATGGACAGTGGGCAGAACAATTATTTGGGAGGAATTCGTGAAAAACTGGCATTACAATTTACCAATATAGACAATTTTGTTGTAGAAGTCATGCCAAGAGCATGTGTTGGTTAGTATGTGTATCATACTTCTAGATTAACTAGTTCACTTGGTAAAATGTTAATGCTTGTTCTTCAATCACAGACAACATTCCAATAGAATCCAAGTTGACGACCTATTCAGAATATGAACTTGTAAGGGCAGTGTTACTTTGTAACAAGCATGTGCATCTCAAACTAAACTGGAATATTTACACAGCAACAATTTTTAATAAATTTCTAAAATGACAGGTACCAAAATACAATTATCAGACAAAAATCAATGCATTTCTCCGAGTTTATCATGGTTCAGGTACATACACTATTCTTTGTAGAGCTATACAGCAGGACATAATGTAGGTAAATATCAACCAGAGATTTAAAAAAAAAAAAAAAAGTAAGAATAGAATGACATGCACATGCATAGTTTCGATGACAGTGCCCCTTCTGTATACCAATTTTGATTAATTAATAGTATATTTAAAGTTGTATTGCCACCTACATTTCATTGGAAGACCGACATTCATTCAAAGTAATATGATCATGCACTGTATCCAAAATTTCATGGGAAGATATTTGCAAGAAATTAGGGTCGGAAGAAGAAATATTCATTAAGATTGATCTTTGATACACTTGTGTCCAAGAAAACTGACTTTTGTATGCACTTTTGAGGATCTGACACATTACTCTGAAACGTTGCAACTATTGCATTTGTAAAGGGTTTCCAACAAAATATATCAGTTAATACAACTTTAAAGAGTTTGAAATTTCACAAATCTTATCTAATTTAAGACTCCATTAAAACTTATGAAAATAGATTTTATGGTCGATTCTGTGCAGATCACATGGAATGTAATGAGAGTTGAGAAAACAATGGAATACCTGCAAAGAGATTGCAAGGAGATGAAATGTAAGGAAATAAACTACAGTTAAAAGTGTGAAGAATATGGATCGATTGCTTGCAGAACAGGTACTTGGGGTTTCACAGTAATTGGCGGGCTCATGCCACGGAGCAATATAAACTTTACTGCGAGAAAAAAAGTTTGATTAAAAAAACAATTTCTATATTATAACAAAGTTTAACATTTTGTCTTGGGTTTTCGAGCTTGTTGATTATTACTACTGTATGTAAAACAATGAGATGTATGTAGATACAAGAGATGGAAGTGAAACCCACACCACAAATAACTACTACTAAACAGTAAAATTGCAAAAAAACAAAGCAGGCAGACAGGTAAAGCAAGCAGGAGCTAAGCAACAAAACTGTTGCAAAAGAAAGACTGAGAACAATCTACATCTACTGGGAATAAACCTCCATAATTAGGTGGCTACATAGAATATCACCTTCACTTGGGCCATCTTCACGACCAAAGACATTAGCAAATGTGCCGGCATCAGCACCACCATTAGTTTGGTGGGTACGCCTCACTGCTGTACTGTCATCGTTGACGCTCTCTCCATCCACAAACAGACCAGAGACATTTCGGCGATTTCCACTTGCTTTACCCTTTTGTATTATTGGTATCTTCTCTTGACACTTGTGTTCCTCACCAAAAAGATTGTCGTGGCTATTTGGATTCCCTACAGTGTGTACATATACATGCATAAACAAAACTATCTGCAGTACATTTGATAAACAGGTCACTGAACTCTCCAAATTTTGAAGACAATTGCTAGATTTGGTAAATTTTGTATCAACCTATATAAAACTAGTTTCAGAAATATTTAATTTTTAATTAAAATTTGGTGCAAAAAAAAAAATCAATGTAAAAAATTGTTTTCAGTTATGGTGTGAAACTTGTATCACATGTATGAAACTTTGGTAATGTTATAGGAACTAGTAAAATGTACACCACGTCAAATCCCCTAAATTTATCCATCATTGTGCTAAACTTTGCATGTTTCACTGAAATAGAACAATAAAGTGATGGCCTGTGTACAATGTTCAGTGGTAAGGGGCGTGGTGTGCAACATTTTCAGATTTAATGAGCACAAGGTTGATGCTTCAAGTCAAAGGACGTTATCCTAAACTAAATTATTGCTATTCGTTGAGTGTCAAGTACACAGCACCCTATATTAATCTATACATACTCTTTGGGAAACGTTTCTTGCCACTGCCAGGTGCCAACATCTCAACATAAGGTACAAACAGCTCCTGGTTACCTAAATACATAATATACGAATGAAACAATGTTTTGGATCTTTTCCAGTTCATATGCAATATCCTAACACAAATTTAAGCTTATAAATCTATGCTTGCTTGGTTGTGCTACTAAGGTGCATTACGGTGATTTGTTTTAGGAAAAGCATGGCAAGGAAGAAAGATAGGTTGGGAATCAATCATGACAGTGAACAACCACAAACAAATAGAAATAAAGTGCAGCCCATAAATGCAGTAACACCATGTGGAAAAGCATTTCAATACACCGACTACAGCAAATAGAACATGACTAATTACATCAGATGCAATAATACAGAGACAAGGACATTTGACATTTAACATGTGCAATGAAACTTGGGCAAGTTTGTACAGCACAATTATGACCACGACAGTGAAAAATGAGGAACTTGTATCAGCATAATAGTTGGATTACAAAGATGAACATTTTCTCTAATTCAGTATGTTTTACTTTTTAACAATTGTTTTAAAATAACCAAAATTGAACATAAAAATTTGACGCCCTTTCTCTCAAATTGGTTAAGAATGTGTCAGCCAGGGGGGTTTAAATTGCATTTCCATTCATGATGGTATCTGATATTCTGAAAGAAAGCCATTTGGAGAGACCAACAAGTTAAATTAAATTCTTCATGCTGACACAAGCTGAACTCAACTGAAATAAACTGAAACATTTTAAAGCTACTGCTTAGTAGATGGCTATAGATTATGGCTGATGAGCAAAGAAATATTGGCTGCACGATTGCTGTTCACTGTTGTGTTATCAACAATTTACTTGGAGATGTTCATTGAAGAACTAGGGGAGGAGGAATTTCTACACTTTCACACAAAACTGATCAACATTCCTGGAGAACATTTTTTATTCAATGACCAAGTGGTAATGCGTTTTAAGCTCAGTCTGGTGGAAGAACCATTTCTAGTACAGATCCCACAGAAAAAGTAAATTGCGCTTTCAGGACTGGATTTCCTCAAATCTCATCGCATATCTGATTCTGTCAAATTGAAAGTGTGGATTGAAACCGGATAAGGGTTCTTTCCAGTTATTTCTGTAGTATTGAACAGGCATTTAAAATAAAACTAAAAATGCGTAATTGAACACAATGTATTTGAAGGCATGTTTGAAAAGAAAATTTAAATAAATTGGTCAATGGATACCTACAATACAAGAAAATGATGAGCAGCCATTTTCATTTGCATTACAAAAAAAATGTGTGAAGTTTGAATCAGATTTGCTAACTTGTCAGGCAGAGGTACAAGATGACGCCTACAAACAAAAATTTGTAGCAGTATTTGAAACGCAAGTGACTGAGTGAAGCCATGTTTATTGATCAATGGCCAAGACACACGAGGCTGATTAAAACCACTCTTCTATAGCCATCCACTTTTATGTACAGAAATCATAACAGTGTTCTCCCTTCACTATCTGTTTTTAACATGGCATCAAAGAATAATTGAATTAGACCAACAAAAGATAAATAAAAAAGAACAATGAAATGTAGCTTCTGTTACATTGCAGCCATGTCTTGTGCCAGCGAGAGAACACTGGTGTTGCTAGAAAATAAACGTGTATTTTTGTTGATCAACAATGCATGCTGCTATGGAGTTTCTGCAAGTGACATGAGCTCTAATTTAAACTGAGAAATTTAAATCAAAAAAGGCAAAGAAAGGTTAAACATGAATACTTGCGTGTAGGTTTTCTGTCTGACAATATGCATACTACATGTACACACAAGTATACATGATAAAGGCATTTCTGTGCACTGCAAGATTTTGTTGCTTTAGTAGAACAGCACAGAACTAATTGCACAAGAGGACAGGAAAAGTAGTACAAGTGTACAATTGCAGATAGGATTTTCACCTGTCTTCTTATTGGATGAATCATCTTTTCTTGGGCTTCTAGGAGTCTGAGATGAGGCTGATGTACTTCTGGGCGTCGAAGGCTTTTTTTCCCTTGGTGACCTGGGAGTTGAAATCTTTTCCCGTGGAGTTTTAGGGGTTGTCACTCTTTCCCGTGGACTTTTAGCAGATAACGTTTGAGGACTCTTTGAAGTTGGTGTTTTTGCTCGTGGACTTTTGGGGGGCTGGTTTTTCTGTGTTGGCGACTTTGGACTTTTCAAAGTGGGAGATTTAGGGTCTTTTTTAATTGGTTTATTAGAAACCTCTTTTACAGAAGAAGCAGGTGCTTCATTTACATTCTCTTTTGGACTTTCACATTGGTCAACATTTTCAGAAA